CTTCTGAAAGGTCCAAGTTCTTCAGAGGATGCGCATGTCCCAACCACAGCCAAATCTGCTAGCAACTTGCACAGCGCCTGTATGGAAGAACCTGGTCCCACTCATAGTTGGCCTTTTTACTATTGGTTGGTCAATCAACGGACCCTCAAGTGTACAACCACGTATAGGTAATTAGTCGTATAGGTATATGGTACCAAACCGTCCCCTCTATTTTATGATTAAAGGCCACCGTTGGTCCCACTCTCCAACCAACCATCCAACAAAGCCGAAGCCATGAGGTCAAGGCAGCTGTGACCACCGAGAATGGTCAGACACGAGTTTGCCACGTGGATGTCGCTTCGTCCGCACGGCCGGGGCTTCGTCCACACCGGCGGGGACGTGGCTGATCACACCTGTGTCAACCTTGGAGTGAGGAATGAATCATGGTTGACACACATCAACATCATTACTCCATTACTACATGGCTTGACCATAAGTTGGCTTACTTTTTTATTTATCACTCCCTGTAGATGGCCCCATGGTTACGTAGATGGCCGCGATTTCGGATGACCATTTTGCCAACCAACCGGTGGTGAACTCCTCTTCCATGATTCCAGGGAGCGTCAGGGATACCGGCTTAGCTCTCCATCGCTCATGCCTGGAGATGTAAAACGATTCTGGAAGGGGGAGTTGATTCATCAACAGTCATTATTCACATTAGACTTCAGATGAGCTTATACATAGTTCACAGTCTGTGTGGGCCTCCGTGCCGGGCTCTCAAGATTGCTAGACATGTAGTCGCAGAGGAAAATACGGTGGAAAAGAGCCAAGTGTGGATTTCTTTTGCACTCCTTTGCAAGGTCTCTCATCAGTCAATGTTTTATATCCAAGCTAGGCCAAACAATGGCAGCCAAGGCAGCACCTCGACAATTGGGGCTACTGAAGCTACCAGTGTCTTGGACAACGCCGGTCTGCCCAATGCACGAAAAATTGTGCAGATCCGGATGAGGAAAGAACCATGTTTGCTGGCTGAAAACCCTCTTGGGTGCATCCCCTCGCCTTCCATCCGTGTTTGATGTTTGGCACCCCAAACTGTGAGATGCTCGACTCAGAAGCACTCACAACCATGAAGTTTTGCTCGACCTGTGTTTGCTTCACCAGGGGTGGTGCCCATGGTACCAGGATCATCCAATTTGGGTGTCCAATGGAGCACCCTCCACCACAATCCGGGATCTCCAGACAGGGCAGACCCAGACAGGACGGTCCAGGTAGAAAACGCTTACTGTACAAAGAGCAGCTTGCAAGTAACGATAGGGGGCCTCACAAACTGGCCGACGTAACCACCACACAGAGGAAAGTTCGACCAAACCTCATTTTGGAGTTGGTTGAAGTTAAAGAGCCCTAAAACTTTGCCATGTGTTTGCTACTTGATCCCTTTGCAGCACGCATGCGCATGGACAAGTGGAACCTGGTCCTTAAATGAAATATTTGGCAAAGCTGGTTGCGTCAGCAGGGGTGCAGTCTCTCCGGCGTTCGCCGGTGCCACGCACCGAATCCCAGTCGACCGACGCCACGACGCCGTCCAGTCACAGTCCGATTCCCAGTGGAACGTCCCAAAGATGCTCCTGAGTACCGAGAAAGTCTCCCAAGACCTGAAGAGAAGACCTGAGGCGTCTTCATTTCAAGCTAGCTCTACATACGTAGACCTGGATCCATCGGAATGACCGGGTGCGACCAGTCTCTGGGTGCGGAAGATCGATGTTAGAAGGGCCTCGTCCTGTAGAGCACCAAAGGCGTGAAGTGGCAAATTCATCAATTTGATGAAGCGGTATCCTTTGAAATAGCCTTGTCGTTCCGTGACTCCTTACGCCGATGTTGGCCGAGGCCAACGCCGTTTTTGGGCCTGAGCGCATGCAGAGCGTGGCCGTGATTGAGGAGGACCAATGGTGTGAGGTCAAGGGGCTCTCAGTGACCGTGACCACCAAGAAGGCGCATGAGAAAGTGCTTTTGGCTTCTCAGCCGCAGCCGGGATGCATGTTTTTTGATTGAAGAGAACTACCTGATGGTGGTTCGGCCAATTCGCCTGGCAGTTGGAGAGCTGTTTTCGGCCCATTCGACGATCCGTTCGTCCGAACGAACGATCCCAGGTTTGGAGCACCAACTTCAATCCAGAAGAGTTGACCTACGAAGCCTACTTCACCGTCTCCTGGTCTTTGGTTGGTGTTTCTTTGTATTGTTTCCTCATCTTTGTTACTCCACATTTTTGGACACATAAATGGTGTCCAACAATAGCCCCCTGGAGGTCAAGGCAGGGGTGTTGATGAACCATCTCTTGAGGGGCCTTGGTATAGGTTCCGGACATTTCCTGCAATAAGCGGCACATCAAAGGTCTTCCGTTCCAGCAGCAGTGGCCTGAAGAACCTCGGGGGCGAGGAGCAGGGCTTGTGGTCTGTCGCCAGCTCGGCGTCGGGCTCGAGCGAGTACCCGGCTTCTATGAGCAGCTTGGTGGAAACAGATGATTCAGGTGATCAGAAGTTTCGTTCCTTATTACCAACTGAACTAATTACAACCCATTGGGCCCATATCGTTAATTTATCCTGTCATAATTATTATATGTTGCTGCCTGCATTGAAATTCTCCAACGACTCCAACTATTACCCCAAACTCCCAGGTCCACTGAACACAGAGCACCAGAAATCCCCAGAGAGGAACACCCATGTAGCGAGCCGCTTCGGCCAAGCTCTTTGGGTTTCTTCAAGCTCGGTTCGATCACCGGTTTTGCGGTTAGATGAGACTCAACTGCCATCATGCCCCAGGACAGTTATCCCAGGCCAGGCTATAAAGTCTTCAAACAAATTATAGCCCACGTTCTGGGAGCTAGATACTCTCAGAATCTCTCAGATGTAGTTCAGTGGAATGTGGAAAGCACGGCAATGTGTACCGCAAAAAACCAGGAGACTCCATCCAACAATGATTGTTGAAATGAGCAGATCATAGGCTGAACATCTGGAATTCTCCAGAAGTCTCATCCAGCACCTTCCCTCAGGTAGTTAATCTCCAGTCGTCGTCGTGAGGTAGATGTGTCCAGCCCCCCAACTGAGCCAGTCGTCGCGCCTTCCTTCGCTCGTGCCATCCCTTTCCAACCCCTAGGGATCCAAGTACCCCTAGGCAGAACAGTGTCTCCAATCACCTTCTGAGGAGGTACTTGGATCCCTTTCCAACCTGATGTTTTTCCTCCTGTTCCACCCACTCGCCCGGTCCCCCTTTGCCTCGGTGCCAGGCATCGATGCGCCGGGCGTGGGGACCTTCACCTACACCGTGTATTGCCGTAGCAAGCGCTGTGGTAGCTTGCCAGAGCCCACACGCGTGGAGCTTGGGCCCGATGGTTGCTTGGAGGGACGTGTTGGGTCGGGGGCAAGGCTTCATACACCACAGAGTGGTACGTGGAATTTTTGCTGCTGGACTAGACTAGGGATCCATATTATCTTCAAGAAGGACTTTGGCGAGAGAAATGCTGTAGCTTTGGGAGTGAGGATTTGGTTGATTCTAGGGGGGATCATGAGGGATCTGATCTCCTCTCCGTACTTAGATTGGCAACTGTAGGCCAACGCTGCCCTTTTGCTGGTCCGTTTTCAGGGAGTGTACCCCTAAGTTGTCTTTGTGAAGATGTCAGGGGGGTGTACAGTCTAATAACCTTCAAGACTCAGAGGCCACCCAGCTGGATGAGTCATGCTGGTGTGCCACCGGGAAACCACGTTGTGGGGGAGAGTTCCAACAAGTGCATGGCTGACCCCCAGTGCTCACAAAAAAAAGTGATCATTGTGTGGCAATGGACTCGGGTCGGCCGATCGGCCTCAAGGCCACATTGCAGCAGCCTTGCTGAATGCGAAAGCATCCGAGAGCCGCACGGTCGTGGAGATGATGGGTCGGGAGATGGACGCAGCCAGAAGTGAGAAATAGACTCAAAGAGAGACCTTCGCATCCAGCCAAGATGCGTGATCAGACAGGCAAGAGGCATCAACAGGCCAGGTGTGAATACTTAGCATGATCAACTATATACACAGAGAACACAACACTTGTTGATCAATACTGGGTAAATGTTCATGATTCATGATGATATCTAAGCTTCACGATCATGAAGCCCACTACAGTCAGCAAAGCCAACAATGCGAGGCACAGAATGCGTGGCCAGGTGGCGTTCGATTGACATTGCACCGGTTGCAGTTTGTGGAGAGCAGCGCCATCTTCCGAAAAAGACATGTTCGACGCATGTGAGTCCACGTCGTTTGCGTTTGGGCAGAGGGTGGCCGACAGTTTGCACACTTTGGCGTGCTCATTTTGGGTAGACGAGCCACAAACAGTGTGTAACATCGAGAATGCCCCTGATGACTGAAATGGCCATCAATGCTGCAGAAACAGTGCCACTAAGTGGGTATGATGACGCAATGTGACACCCGAATTGGTAGAAAATAGACGGGAAATCGTAACCCACAAATGGCGTTGACACTGAGACTTTTGCAGATCGAGTGGTTGAATTGGTGGTTTACAACAGGAAAGGGGCACGGTCTCTACAGGGTTGGGGCTCCAATTTGTGATGGTGCCCGCTATTATTGTTTACTGCCTAGTCTTTGTATATATATATATGTGTGTGTGTAGCTGTATATATATATTATATTATATTTATATACATCCACTCATATCATGCTTGCCGCTCGCTGGCTAGGTTTCGCTGTTGACGTCTACTTCGGAGTATGATTTTCATTGGCTTATCTCATCTCCATGTCACCCAGGCTTTTGGACCCACTGGCGCCCACCAGAGGTATACGTTGGGTCTGTCCTATGACTAGCCTATGACCTGTAACAGTCAGTCAACAAGCAAATCACTATTTTGGAACGTTCGGCCTGCAACTGAACCATCATCATCCACTGGGTCCCGTTGTCGACTCGGATGGACCGACTCCGTCTCATCCGTCTCGGGTCCGACAGTCCGACGCTCTGCTCCACGGATCCCGATGCTCCAGGAGCGCATCTGCAGGGTGAAGCCTCGCGTGCACGTCTTCGGACACTACCACCTGGGCCGCGGGGCAGAAGGAAGCAACGTCACAGGGCTGTCCCAGTCGGAGGTGGTCGGAACATCGGAACAGGTCGGAAAAAGCATCATGTTTGGTGGACGAATGGAGGATGGATGAATCCAAAGGAATTGGAAGTGATTGTTATACATTCAGAATGTATATAACCATCTCCAACCTACTTGACGGCTACAGAAGGTCATTGATGGACGCATGTTCTCTGTTTTCAAGGTCATGGCATTTCTTTGCAGGAGGCGTGCTTGGTCCAGGGGCTGTTGAGAGTTGAGGGCATTGTGGGTGGCTTGAGGTACAAAACAACAGTATGAGAAAGATTCCTTCACAGCATTGACTGTGGGCGGTGTGATTAAAGGTAGAGGTGAAAACATGTCTAGCAGTCTTGGCTCCTATATGGGTGATTCCTGGTGGTTTCAAACCCATGTGGCTAATGGTTAAAGTTGTCCATTCATGTTCCACAACGCCCTAAGCTGTGTTTGACCTCCTGTAAGAAAGAGAGAGAGAGAGAGACTGCCAATATATGTTTTGTAGATATATATATATATATATCTGTGTGTGTGTAAATGTATATTATATATATAGCCAATGACCCTGTTTGGCTTACCAGTTGCCTTCAAATATGGCACAACATGTCCCATCTTTCCAGGTGTTGTCATGAAGTCCCAGAGCCACAGCCTATTCCGATCCACGGCAGTTTTGGGGAGTTGGATGTATGTTTGTCCCATTTACTTATATATATATATATATTCATGGGACGAGACCCGCAACCTTTAGGCGTGGTCGGGTTCATGGGACTGCCATATATGCCATCCCATTGACCCCTTTCCAACCACCCCAACTGATCGGCATATATGGCAGTCCCATGGGTCGTGTCTGGGGTATAGTAGTACACGGTAACCCCCCCATTCAGATCTTGTGACGTCTCAGTCTGCCCGCCCGGAGGTGATTGAAGTCAACGCGCAGGGAAGCCCAGCTGAGCTGGGAGGATGGGGCACAGACTTACTGTAGAGATTTGTGGCCCTGCTTAGTGGCGTTGTTTTTTGGGGGGGCATCCCCGCAGCTGAATGCCTTTTGATGCGCGCCATTTGCATGGACTTTGGGTCCTAACGACATCAATGATGGTAGTTCAAGATGTTGTGAATGCTAGATTCTAGACCTGTTATTTTCAGCATTTGTCGAATCATGAATGATATAGACGACATGACAAGGGTTCCAGCCCTTTTAGATCAGTGAATCAGTGAACATGATTCTCCAATCAATCCCAGCCAAGTAGGCGCCATGCCGGATTATGCCAGGGTATTTCACTCCAGGACTTTCCATGACATATTTATATATATATATTGACATTATATTGACCAGAGGTGCAAAGGCACATGTTTATACAACTGAACAATTGGAATGACTAGGTTGCAACGACTGCCTCCCAAGCAGTCGTTTTGACCTCTACGCGGATTTGCAGGATGACGCGCTGAGGTCCTCTGCGGACGCGCTGTTCGCAGTGACTCATCCACCAATCATTTTGGATATCCAGCCGCGCCGAAGGGCACAAAAGGAGCCGAAATGCTAAGACAGTCTTGGCCCCATAGGACTTCGGGCTGTTTTCATGACCAAGGGCAAATGAGTTACCATGAGTTACCATCTCTATAGTTGAAGAACGCTATGTACTTTTGTGTTTTTTGCATATGCCACACGAGTCCATGTTCTCACTTGGTATTGGGAAGTTTCTTCTGCAGCTACATCGATCACATGGAGAAGTGGCCTTGCCGCCCTGAACGGCTCAGTTCAAGGACTTGAAATCAGGAGCTTCTTGCGGAAAGAAAGCCTCGCGCAGCTGCAACACTCCGGAAGCCTTAGGACAAAGAGCATGTTTCAAAAGGAAAGATTGCCGAACATATGAGGCCTTTTGAACCAGATGCACCAACCATCCTGGACTTCTGCTGCAACTAGCCAATTATAGGACTAAATCGTATAGGGACACGCTTGGCATTTGAAACTTCAAAGGAACCGTCCCAACAGTATGGTTCACCACCGAACTGTTCACCACCACCACCGACGGGACCTAGCTGACCTTTTTCGCCTCACAAGGGCCTTCACAGAAAAAACGCCATGGCACCATGTTGGGGGGGCTCCTGGCGGCCTTTGCGACGACACCTGGCATGCCTGGCATGCGGCGGTTTTGTGCGGGGAAGGGAAGTGATGGGCGGGTTTCAGCATGCTGCATGTAGCTGTGAAAGAGGATGTTCGGGTTTAAAGGTGCAGTTGTTTTTTCTCACTGGTGGATTTTGCAGTAGATGTGTTTGGCCCTATATGCCTGTGTCACTTTGCCTATGGCCCTATATGCCGAATTTTGCTGGCGGCATTGGCGCAGTGCTTGCTCAACTGGTTCACACGTAAGAATGCCATCCAGAAGCCACAGGGTGGATCACCCGTGAGGTCAGTCGGGAACATGCTTGGCACGGGTCAATGTTGCAAACGGTTTCAGCGCAAGCCAGTATTCGACATTCGACTCAATGTGCAGATCCAACTGACCTGCCCAGTTTAGTTCCCAGACACTCCATGGGACTGCCATATATGCCATCCCATTGACCCCTAAAACCAACCACCCCTGGCCTGATCGGCAGTCCTATGGCAGTCCCAGACGGGTCGTGTCTGGGGTTGGTAGAATCCAGATGATTTGAATTCTGGTCACGGCTCAAGAGTCCTCATTGAGGCTTCGGTGTGCTGTCAGCCTTCACGCGACGACCCGCCCGCGGTACATCTACTTGATCCTCAACTTTCCCAATCGCATCGTCCGCACCGACATCAACGGCCAGAATCAGGCAGCACGCATCGGAATCCGGGGTTGAGGCATGAGGATGGAACACATAGAAACAACACACCAAGGACGCACCCGTTTACCATGGGGCGAACTGGGCGAACATTGGAGATGAACAGGGCAGCCCATGCGAAGAGTATGCGAAGATGCGACCTGTGCTTTCTACGAGTCACTCGTCCCTTCTATAGATGAAGTAAAAAAAGAGCGATGGCCTCCAACAAACAGAGCGAAGGGCTCCTACGAGTCACTCGGTTTTTGTAAAATGTGTCGGTGATTTCCGTTTCTTCGCCCGGCGACATCTCGTCCCCAGTCCTCTCGTCACGCGATTTCTCGACCCAAGCGGCACGGAACAGACACCGGAGGAACTGACCTTCTCACCACGCGACCCCGCCGACATGGCCCAGGTGGTGCTTCTGGAGGGCTTGGGCCATCCGTGGCCTGGAAGAAGAAAGGTCAGTAGGTGGTGTTGCTGTAAGTGGGATGACTATCCTCAGCAACTACTACGTGTCAGGGTGCGGCTTCAGCCACACATCCAATCAGACTGACTCGTTCGAGGGGGAACTACTGTAGTTGTTTTACCACGTCTTTGCCTACATACTGTCAGTAAGTTAACTGTCGAGCTGGTCCAGAGGATTTGAACTTCAAAAAAAAAGACACCAAGAGAACTCATAGGCAACTACTCTGTGATCAAGCCTGTTTCTCTTCAACACATACCAAGTGAGGAACCCGCAAAGGTGCCGGTGCCTGGACTTGGTCATAAAGCATTTTCTCTCCTTGAAACTTGTTAGCTGAAATGGTTCACCAGATGTTGAAGAAGTTGGTTGATAAAGAATGTGTTTGGCCAGAATTGTGCAAAGCCTAATGCCTTGAACAATATCTTGAACCGTCCATGGCTATAAACATCCAGTCGTTTATTTGTCCACCCTTGCCCTGGTGCACTTCACCAGGCACGCGCTTGCTGTGGATGACTTCCACCGGAAGATGTGCTCCTTCCGCGTTATTGCGGTTTCTAACCGGTTAGAAACGTGTAAGGAAGTTGCTCACGTGCGCTCAAGTCTATGCCTATGCGTTGATGGTCCATTTCTTTATGGCTCACCTCATTGCAATGGCTGGCATTTTTGACTTTGGTTACATCCTTGAGATGAGAAGCCATGAATCCCAGGAATCCTCCAAAAGAACTTAGATACCCCAGTACCATCCAGTACTGAACCTAGCCACTTCTTTCTCCGCAGAACGCCCTGGCACCGCCACCGACGACGCCAGGTACTTCGGCGTCTCCGACGACGCCTCCGACCGGCTGATGCGCTCCGACCTCACGGGCCGGAACGCGGAGGAGCGGGGGCTGAGAGGCTGAGCGGAGCGGAGCGTGGAGGAAGGTGAGGACGGGAGGTGTGTGTGCATATATATATAGTAATATATAAATATATAACCCAAAAATATGAGTGATCACCAAATAGATTAGTGGCTAGTGGCACGGTTTCCAAGACATGGTTAGTGGGGATCTACTTTTCTATCCAGTGGTGTGTAGTAGTCCAGTGCTGGCTAGCTGAGGTGACCATGAAGGGATATTCCAGGTGTGACAGCTAGACTGTGCCCAAAAAGGGAGAGAGAAAGAGGGAGACTCAGAGACTTGTGAGAGGTGCGGCATGTCAAATTATTTTGAGAGAGATACATGTGTCCCACAGCAAGCCACGAGATGTGCAGATGATAGCTTTGCCGCTTTGCCGGTTGCAAGATGTTGCCTTAAATACGTCTATGCCTATGCAAAAGTTGTCAATGCAAGCTACATTTGCACTGTAGATGTTGTTTCAGTATGTTTCGGTGTCTTGATAAGCACCTAAAAGGGGTGCCTCTTGATTTACATTGCCAGGGAGAGCATGCTCCACTGCCACACGAGCAGGTTTCCAGCCGCCCTGCAACCCACTGGGCCCAGGTGTTCCCCTGCCCCTCGTGCCCTCGCCCCAGGAGCTGGTCCAGGGCGTCCACGTCGGAGGCGTCGCGGTGGATCCGCACGGCGGAGCCGTCTATTGGACGGTGGCTCGGTGCGGGTGCGGTGCGGCTGGGCTGTGGGCTGCCAGTCAACCTGTGTTTTTTTCCCAGCTGGTGACCTTGGAGCACCTTCCTGTGCCGAATCCCACAGGGTGAATCCCACTAGAAGCTTTCCTCAAGCTGCTTGGCCCTCTCACTGAAGACGGGCCTTTTGTTCCCCCCCCCCCGGTGGTCACCCGCCGCTACGGCGGCTCCCACGCCCTCGAGGAGTTGGACCAGGGCCTGGTGCAGCGCGCTCGCTTGGATGGCTCACAGGTGGAAACCTTGGTGTCCGGCCTCGAAGATCCAGGCGTGCACCGTACCGCGAGAGGGTGCCGGGTCGGTTCTTTCCCTTTTTGGTATCAGGGAAAGACCGTTGATACAAGGTGTTCAGTATTCAATACCAAGCCTGTGTGGTAATCATGTGGTTACCTTATTATGTTACCTTTAGTGGCTTCAGAGTTCACAGTAGAACTCCTATTGGAGTTAAAAACAGTTCCAGCAGGTAGGTGTCCAGCATCTGGGAGCGAACCGGTGAATGGGGAGACTTTAGGAGCTCAGTTCCAAGAAGTCGTACAGTCCAACCACAGTGGATTCCGTTGTGGGTTCTACTTGAAAGAACTTCCAGAGTTGTAGAGTTCAAAAAGCCATTGGAGATCTTCAACTTGTGTTTCACAAGGCCGCATCTTCACAGAGCTTCGATTTTGGGCGCAACCGTGCAGGTGGGCTGGACTTGGACCTCCATGTCACTTGGCCAAAACTTGACTAAAAGATCGATCACATCAAAAGACAAGACCAGGAGATCCAAACGCATATGCTGCGTGTATTTGGGTTGGCTTATTGGTGAAGGTATGCCTGTAATCCACCGCTTTGCGGTTCAAACCATGTTGGGATTCACATGTAAAGCACCACGTGGACAAAGCAAGGGATTTATAGGGGTTGGTCGGTTGATGTGTTTGCATCCATTTTGAGACCCTTGATTTGTCTCGGGTTTGATACTTGGCGATGAAACGTTCAGCTCAAGATAGACGAGAATGGTTTGGACGCCGAACCCTGTCTCCCCCTTTGGCCACCAAATCCAGCTAAGCTAGACACACGCTGCAAAAATGCTGGGTTAAAGATGGTTAAAGCCATTGAACATCCAGGATCCCGCAAAGATGCGTTCTCTGCATATTTGCATATATTTGTGTTATTTTTGGATATAGTAGGCACTGTGCAGAGCCTCTATTGTGTCGGTTTCAGTCGGGTTCCAAGTGCTCACTCAACGGGCCACTAATACCAGGGAGGCTTTTTCATTAAGAGGTTGGTGCAATACCGTTGGATCGATTAGACTTGTACACGCCAGCAGGCAAGTATTTAGTAAAGACTTTGTTGGATTTTTGGTGTATACTGATGTTGGACTTGACTCGTATTGACTAGTCAACTGTGATTTGCATTCATCAACCAGCGCATTTTGCGTGCATTTACGGCATTCCTTGAGAAGCCCAACACAAAGGTACCCAGCTGGCCCCCAAGCCCTATGCCACCAGCTCAGCATTGCTGCTACATCTTGGTGTGTGTTTAGCTAAAAGTGACCATGGATTTCGGGTTGCTCCAGCTTTTCTTCGGCTTCTCTAGGAAGGACAAGTCTTTTGGTGCGACCAGACTGGCTGGGAACGGCGCAAGGGCAGGACGGTGAAAGCACGGGCACGGGCACGGTCGACTCGGAAAATCCCTTATCCTCG